CCCAGAGGTGCTTAACCACTGAATCACAGGCCCAGCCCTTTTTTTGTATTTTTTTTTTAAGAGACAGGATCTCACCCAGTTAGGTAGGGCTAAATTGCTGAGGCTGGCTTTGAACCTGCAATCCTCCTGCCTCAGTGGCCTGAGCTTCTGCAATCCATACAGTATTCTCACTTGCCACAAACATTTCAAATGTTGAATCTGCTGAATCACAAGCCAGGTAGTAGAGTAGGCTGCCCTGCAGCCTGAAGTTGTTTCAGAGCCTTCTTTCTTTCTGGTTCCCACCCCAAACAGGAAGCTTGACCACTCTGTGGATAGTCAAAGAAGTAGAGTCAAACATGACAGGCTTACAAGTGCTTTGCCTCTGGTCTGTTGTGGTAGATAGAATCAGACACCACCGCACCCAGCTTCCAGTACATCTCTGGATGAACTCGTCTGGTTCACTGGCCCACCCTGGTTACTTCCCCAGCCACTGAGTACATAATTGGCATAGGCATACCAATACCTGGCACAACCCACATCACCACGCTGACCCCTAAAGTGAGTCACTTTGCGAGAAGGCTAAATGGAAGCCTCTACCTAGATAGCAAACTGGAAAGAGCAGCACATCCCTGGAAGAAATGCAGATTAGATCCACAGTCAGACTTCAGCAGGGCTTCACAGAGGTAGCAGTCCTTGAATTTGCATAGGTTTTCTCTCCTACTCTGTTTGCCTGTGTCTTATTAAGTATCTAAAGTACTTGCTACTTCTTATCAGATGCACATAGTATAATGTCATCAACAAAGTGATTGATGTGGCACCTTTGGAGTGTCCAGATGATCAAGAGCTCTGTGGGCTGTATGATGGCAGAGAGCAGACTGACAGGTCCTGAGGCACCAGTGTGAAGGTGCACCGTTGGTCTGGCCAGGCAAAAGCAAATGGTTTCTGGTGGTCCTTTCAAACTATGTGGAGAAAAAGACACCCATTTTTCCGTGGCTGCGTGCCCAGCGCTGGAGGCTTGTTGCGTGTTGCAGTAAGGGCACTACCTCTGGAACAGCAGGGATAATTGGTGTCACCACTGGATTAAATCTGTGGTTGGGCTGGGGGTAGAGCTCAGTAGAGTGCTTGTCTCACATGCATAAGGCCCTGGGTTCAATCTCCACCACACACACACACAC